TCAACTCCTCTCGCTGTGTTTGGCGATTGTCGTCTAAGTATCGATTCAATCTGTCCTTCATTCAGTGGTGGCAAGGGGTCGTCGCGAGCATCCCTGGCCAATCCCTCCAAAGTCCATAGCAAGTGCTCCCTGCTGTCATTATCCTCCTGCCAAACTCCCTGCCAAAAGTCCTTCTTCGTGCGAATGAGTACGCAAGGGTCTGCAGTGTCCACTCCATCTCTGATGATCTCACGCGGAAGTGGGTCAGGAGGAGGAGCACGCACGTGTCGATGAATAGCACCTGGCCTCTTAGCCCACATCTGCTTCGCCCAGTCCATGAAAGCTTGGCGAGACTTGACTAATGAGCGCCCCTGGGCGCGGTCGACCCACATGTTGGTGTGCACCTGGAGCTGCTCCAACTCAGTCTGGCTGAGGTGCGACACCTGCAGGGCGACGTCCTTCCACTCTTGCACAGTGGTGGTCTGGGCCTTTTTCCCGAAGAATTCCTGCTGCTTGGCTTCTGTCAGGCCCTGGACCATGGACCGAAAGCCCGCGAGGCACTTCTCCGCCCCTGGAGGGTCCCTGCCTGAGCGTGTCAAGGCCACGCCTCGAGCAAGCAGTGTGGAGGCGATCCCCCACCATTCTGCTACAGGGTCGCACATGTGAGGTCGACCTGGGGCTGGTCGCATCTTCCTCCATGAAATTGAGTAACCTTGCCCTCTGCCGAAAAACACAACGGGGTCCTCCACATCGCTGACCGCCACAATAGACCGCTCCAAGGTAGTGACCCATCGCCCATATCTATCATCCAAGGTAGAGCGTTGAGTGGGCCTCCAGGTCGACAGGGTGCCTGACGACAACTGTGCTGCCGCTGTTCGTGGTCTGAAGGTATCCTGCTCCAATTCGCCATAGATCTTGAGCCATTCATCTTGCTCCAACTTGAACGCGACCTTGGGGCCTTCTGGTTGTGGCTCCTGAGATGGCAGGTCATCGAAGGCCTCGCGTAGCTCTTCGGGGAGTTCCTGTCTGCGTGCGTCAGCCACCTGCTTGCGTTTCTGGGATCTCTTGCTGTCAGGGTTTGGTTCTTGCTGAGGGCGGTTGGCCCTGGGTAGCGGTTCTGGAAGCTCCAACGACCTATGCCACCAAGTCCGCTTGGCGTCCAGCACATCAATGGCAATAGCGCAATGAGTCTTCCAAGGAACAGCTAAAACCTGCCTGAGCCTGATGCGGTCCGAAGTAAGCTGTTTAGAGACAATAGCATAATCATACATTCGTCCCTGGCCCTTGTCGCACGTGAACTTGCAGTTCGGAAGCGCTAACCGACCTCTGAGTCTGTCAACCCATCCACTATCCAAAAGGGTCTGCGGTTCGTTGTTCCAGTCCGCCACAATCACCCAAGGATCTGCCAGAGCTTTGGTAAAAGCGCCCAAAGCCACCAACACCTCATTGCTGTACTGAGCGATCCCCAGTGACGGTAGCAAGTACGCTGCAATGTAGACGAGGTTGCCCGACTTGAGGTGTAGCGTGGTGGCCGAGAAGCCTTTAAAGGGATCCATGCGCGAGTCAGCAATCGCCTGGTCCCTCAATCGATCAAACTGCGTAGCTGCCAAGTGACAGCGCGTGAGAAGCCACTCACCTGCCGAGATGCCTGAGTCCGACCTCCCAGAAGCAAAGCCTGCCTTGAAAGAAAGCCTCCACCCGTCCTTCCTGAGCTCCTCGGTCCAGTGGGCGCACTTGGTGTCGGGGACATGCGTCTCGACCAGCCCAACGATGGCGTAGGTGTGCTTGTGACTGTTCACGAAGCCGCGAACCTTGGCGCCCCATTCGGTGATGTTCGCGAAGAGCATCGTCACATGCTTGTCGGACGTACGGTGCTGCAGAACTGCTGGCTCTTCGTGCGTGGGCACGTTGTCACCAGCGTGGGTCTGTCTGCCACGTTGCTGCGTTCCTGACTCCGCAACACAGTCCCGAGGACGGGCGGCATCCAGCAAAGGCAGACTCGACGAGGAGTTCCCCGAGACACCCAAGATAGCGGCCTCAGGGCCTCCAAGATAAACCTCCCGAGACGGGGTGGGGCTGGAACCTATGGCGTCAGGCCTGCATCCTATGTTAGACTCCGCAGTACAGAGCTCCCCCTCGTACTCGAACTGGTCATCGAGGTTGGCGAAGGGGTCAGCATCTGGATCGTCCAAATCATCACACCGAGCTCGAACTCCGTCCTCAGGCAGAGGAGCAAACCGATGACCGTCAGGAGCCTCAGAAGGCTGATGTTGCATGGCATGAGGAATCGTACTATGATTGGCCGCCTGTCCCAGACTGGTCTCCGCATCCGCCAACATCACCAGGTGAGCAATGCAAGCGTCAACATCTGCCTGATCATCCTCTGAGTCAGGCTGTCTGGGGCGAGGAAGCCGCACCGTAGGGAAAGCCGAGCCCAAAAGCCTCCTGAACATGGCTCTCAGCTCATCCAAGCGCTCCCAGTGGCGGCGCTGCAGGTGTACACGTCTCTCAAAGGGCGCCGTACGGAGCCGATCAAGGAAGGCCGCTCGCCTGGGCTCAGACTGCCTCCATGCCAACTCACATAATTCTTCCATGACAGATTGCAAGGTGCGGCCTGGAAACCAGGCCTGCAACAAACGGCGCAAGGGCTCGTTCCCTTGTCGCTCCAGGATCGTGTGCAGAAACGCCTCGCACCAAAGCCGCCAGTCACCACTACCTGCGTTTAGCCCAAGATGTATGTCAAACCAAGCCGCTGCCCATTCTCTGAGGTCAGCTCGCATATCTGCATAGTCCTGTACTGCCATCGCTCTGTTCTCGTCAGCAGGCGGTAGGCCCATGGCCTGTGGTGAATCGGCTGCCGTCTCGACTTCACCAATGTTGCCAGCCCCCCAAGGTAGGCGAGTCCAGCAAACTCCTGAGCCCCCACCCACACGCGCTGAGACCCCCGCCTCCTGTGGAGAGGGTGCCCTGGCGGGTGGAAAGCCCAGGTGCGACTGTGAACCTGCACTGCTCTGGGCAGCCCAGGATTTGCGTTCTGACGCCTGAAACCCTCCAGCTGCCTGAGTAACTGACCGTGTGGACGACGATGCATCAGGAAGGACGTGGCTCGTATGAGTACCCGTAGCGCCAGTGGCGCCAGACGGACTCGCCCACGTCGAAGCCGTACTGATCGCAGTCCCAGACGGCATAGAACACGGTGTACACGTCGAAGGGGTCCCCGTCATCTCATCAGAAAGCGAAAGTGGGGCCCACTGCATCATAGCTCGAACCTTCTGAATTGTGTCCAGCGCTTCGTAGTAGAACTTGTCAGACAGCATAGCTCGACCAGAGGGAGCACATGCGCGAGTAAGAACGTGGTATGCACATCCAAAGGGAATGTCCGTGCCTGGGTAGCATTGGAATGGCGGTGTGCGCGAGATGAGCTTGAGCACTCCAGCTGACACAGATGTCCCTGAATCAGGTAGCTGCTGGGCACTCGTTGTTGGGGCCCCCCCTGCGCTCGAACTTGGCCAATCTCTCACGAACAGAGGCGAACTGTGCCTGCTGCTCTGGTCGGGAGACCTGTCCCTCTGCGACTTGGCCAAGGGGCTCCGACGTGGCCTCTGCGCCATCACCTCCAGCACTAGCTGTCTCTGGCTGGGAACCCTCTGAGCATCCTGGCTTGGACTGGGGTTCCTTATCATCAACATCCTGCACTCGTCGACGTTTGGCCAGTAGCCGCATCTTCTGCGATTCATGCTCCTGGACCACGCGCTTGGCCTCGTCCAGAGCTGAGGCGAAAAGATCCTTGGCCTTCGTGGAAAGGAGCTCCCGCAACTGTGTGGTACGTTCTTCGATCCGTAGGCGATCCTCTTCATCCAGCTCCAATCCATCAGGCATGTCTGAGAGGAGGCCCAGATCGAAGTCCAGGGTGCCCACCTTGCCAGACACGAGGTCCTCCAGCTTGATCCGCGCAGGCACTGGTCCAGGTTCAGGTGCGGCAGCTTTGCCCGTGGCCGCGAGCTTGCGGGCGAGCTCCGCGTGCTGGTTGTCCATGATCTCCAACTCTGCACGAAGGCCCATGATGTAGTTCTCGTGCTCCTGCAGCTGGGCCTTCCATTTGTCATGCTTGTCCAGCTCACGAGAGAGCCGTTGAAGGAGCTTGTCACATTCACGTCGCGATTCTGCCAGCCGCTGCTCCATGGTCTTCTCGATGACAGGGGGGGCAGGCTTTGCCAGGATGTTGATGCGTGCCTGAACCCGCGTGGCCAAGTTCTTGTCACCCGTCTTGTTGGCGATGGCCAGCAGAGAACCCAGCTCAGCAGCATCCAAGCCATCAAGGTTAGTCCAAGCCAGTGCTGGCGTGGATGAGTTCGGCCCTGGCTGGAGGCCGGCGGCCAGCGGCAGACGCTGCTCTGAACTCTGACGGCTGTGATTCCACGAATTGTCTGATCCTGACCACGACCTGCCTGCCCGAGACGGCCAGCGCTGCGGCTGGGTCCATCCTGGCTCTGGTGTGCGATATGAGAAACAATGTTTGCACCACTGCCATCTTTCCTCGTTGCGTGAACATCCGCAGTGACCACATCGCCACGCGGGCCCTGAGACAGGGGGCCTGTGTAGCTTGCGTCGCACAACAGTGGATTTCTTATTCGTCGACCCGTCCGCACGCCACGGGGCTGAGAGCAAATCATCCGTTCCCATCGGCGTGCCGTAGCAGGTAAGAATAAGAAGGTACGTTAGTATGCCTGGCAAACCAGGAGAGCTGTTGGGGCCGCGTGCACCTGAGAGGTGCCCCCTTGCCAGAATGCTCACGTCCGCTGCTGACGCTCGGGCCACGCTACGGACTTGAGCCAAAATGGCTACGGAGGAGGAGGAGGAGGAGGAGGAGAGGAGGAGGAGGAGGAGAGCGAGGAGGAGGAGGAGGAGGAGGGAGGAGAGGAGGAGGACGAGGACGAGAGGAGGAGGAGGAGGAGGAGGAGGAGGAGGAGGCCCAGGGGGAGGAGGCCCAGGGGGCCGAGGGGGAGACCTGCCTGCGGGAGGAGGCCGTGGCTGGGGCCGCGGACGCTTCGGCGCGACACGGCGCCGCCGTCACCTCACAGGCCGCTCGCGGCCGCTGCCGCCGCCGTCGTCTTCGTCCTCCTGCGTCTCCTCCGCCTCTTCCTTCTCCTCCTCCCTCCTCCTCCTCCATCTCCTCCTCCTCCTCCTCCTCCTCCTCCTCTCTCCTCTCTCCTCTGCCTCCTCACCTCCTCCTCCTCCTCCTCTCTCCTCCTCCTCCTCCTCCTCTTCCTCCTCCTCCCTCCTCCTCCTCTCTCCTCCTCTCCTCTTCCTCTTCCTCCTCCCCTCCTCTTCTCTTCCTCTCCTTCTCCTCCTCCTCATGCTCCTCCTCGTCCTCCTCCTCCTCCTCCTCCTCCTCCTCCTCCTCCTCATCCTTCTCGGCCCCTCCGTAGCCATTTTGGCTCAAGCTCATGGCGCCGGTTGCCTGGGGCATGCAAGTGGCATCTTCCGATCCTCAGCATGATCCTCCTCCCCAATTCCATGTCCTGATACGTAGCTCTGCCCTGTCGCACCCCGAGGCCTGTCGGAAGGGTGGTCCAGGCATTTCGCGTGAGGCTTCCTCACAGTTTATGCTCCCGATGTTCACAAACGACAACAGTGTCACCGAAGGAGGGCGGGCGGTTTTCAATATGTGGCCTTCGCCTTAAGGCCACGCACACTCGCTTACATATTGCAATCTGTCCACGGGTTGAGGGCGGGTCGTTCTCAAAATCTGGTTCTCGCCTTAGCGCCGCGTGCACTCGGCACTCGTCTTGAACAATGCAGGAGTTTCACGGATCGAGGGCGGGCCGTGCTCAACATGTGGTTCTCGTTTTGGCGCCGCTCACATTCGTTTCAAACAGTTACACTATTCCCATCCATCCTGTGTTGAGTTGGGTCCTCGTTTTGAAGAGACGGTACCCCGCGTCGTCCTCTCTCCTCCTCCCGCTCCTCCCGCTTCTCCATCTTCCTGTTTCCCATCTTTGCCTCTGCCATCCCCATTCGGCACACGGCTCACACGTTCCGTGGCCCCATAGGGAGCTCCACCGAAGGCCCCAGTGGCTGCGTTCGCATGCCGCCCCCTCTACTTTGGCACACTCCTCACACGTTTCATAGCCCCATCGGAAGCTCCCCCGAAGGCCCCAGTGGTTGCGTTCGCATGCCGCCCACCCGTCCACTTTGGCACACCCCTCACACGTGTCGTGGCCCCATAGGCAGCTCCACCGAATGCCCCAGTGGATGCGTTCGCATGCCGCCTCTCCCTACTTTGGCACACCCCTCACGCGTTTCGTGACCCTACCATCCCCTATTCGGCACGCCCTCACGCGCTTCGTGGCCCCATAGGGAGCTCCACCGCAGGCCCCGGTGGCTGCGTTAGCATGCCGCCCCCCTTTCAATTCAGCACACATCCCACGCGTCTCGTGGCCCCTAAAGGCAGCTCCACCGCAGGCCTCAGTGGCTGCGTTCGCGTGCGCCCCCCCCCCCCCCCCTTGGCACAACCCTCACGCGTTTCGTGGCCCCATAAGGAGCTCTCGTCGTGGGGCTACTCTGGGTCATCTCGACGCTCTCGTGGACTGTCTTGGCGCTCTGTTTGGGCCCTCTTGGGGCTTTCATTAGAGGCTCTGGGGGCCCCAAGGGTGCGCTGGAGAGCTCGTCCCCTCCCCGAGGAGGAGGAGGAGGAGGAGGAGGAGGACCAGGAGAAGGAGGAGGAGGAGGAGGAGGAGGAGGAGGAGGAGGAGGAAGAGGAGTAAGAGGACGGAGCAGGGAAGAGGAGGAGTAAGAGGAGGAGCAGGGAGGAGGAGGAGGAGGAGGAGGAGGAGGAGGAGGAGGAGGAGGAGGAGGAGGAGGAGGAGGAGTAAGATGAGGAGCAGGAGGAGGAGGAGGAGGAGGACGGAGCAGGGAGGATGAGGAGGAGGAAGATGAGGAGGAGGAAGAGGAGGGGGGGAATGAGGAGGAGGAGGAGGAGGAGGGAATCGGGAAGGGGGACAGCCAAATGTCTGACACGCCTTTTCAACCCCCGGCAAGCGGGGGTCGGCGGACCTCGTCCTCTTCCGTCCTCCTCTTCCCTCCTCCTTGCTCACCCACCACATCCTCCTACGTGCGCAGCTCCCCTTTTCCGCCTGCGCATGACAGGATGGGGTCTCTTTGTTGGAGTTCCAGGTCGGCTATCACACGCGTCCGCTGAGTGGACAGATCAACACAATGGGCAGAGATGGCGGCAGCGATAACTAAGATGTCAGATGTGACGCGAGCGCACCTAGCTTGCCTCTCTCTCTCTCTCTCTGTGTCGCTGCGCAGCACGGAGAGGTTTCGATGCATTGCAAAGGCCTCGCGGCCGGCCAGCGCCGCTGACCTTGAGGGCGGGACCTCCCCCGGGCCCCCCGCCGCCGACCCCCTCCCCGGGACCCGCCAGATCCACGGAGGCGCGGCCTTCTGACCCGGGACCAACCCCCCCCCCGCAGCCCCCCCCCCCCGGCAGGGAAGGGTTCAAAGGGAAGGAGGTTCCCTTCGACTTCACTGCGACGTTTGAACATTCCCTTGTTCCTCAATCTCCTCGGGGCTGACGACGACGACAGCGTCTACCACACGCCGAAGGATCGGCGGATGAGGGCTCTGGCCTGGCAGGCCAGGTCATCACCGTGTCCCAGCATGCCGCCCGAGCGATCTCGTGCTCCCTGCTCGTCCTTCTTTCTCCCAGTCACCTCCTCCTCCTCCTCTCCCTCCTCATCCTTTCCTGCGTACCTCCATGTCCTCCATGCTCGTCCTCCTCCCTCTCTCTCTCTCTTTCTCCCTCGCTCCCTTCCGAAAAGCCCGCTGCCCTCCCCAGGCCACGTTCGGCGCGGAGTCGGCGCTGGCGGCGCTGCGCTCGGAGCTGAGGCGGGCGGAGCGGGAGCGGGACGACGAGGCCGCGGCCGCGCGGGGAGCGGCGGGCGAGGCACGCGCGCGCCGGCCCTCCCGCCTTTCTCCATGGGTATGGTTCCTCTCTCCTCCCTCCTCTTGTCGCCCTTTCTCTCCTCCTCCTCCTCCTCCTCCTCCTCCTCATCATCACCATCACCATCACCACAACCACCATCACCGTCATCATCGTCATCACCACCATCACCATCGTCATCATCAGCGTTGTCGTCATCGTTGTTATGATTTCCATTTCTAGTATCACGATGATGATTATTATTGCTTTATTATTCGCATTATCATTATGTTGTACTAATATTATGATCTCTGTGAGTAATACATGTGCTATTGTTGGTAGTGTCATCGGCATCATCATTAGTAAGCTTAGTTACATGAGTACTTATGTTAGTAACATTAGTGTCATTACTCGTGCGTTTATCATCACTATGATTGTTCTTAGTCTGAAGATTAGTATTACTACTACTACTAGTATTAATATGAATATTACCTGTACAATTTTAATGCTACTACCATAACTACTCCCGTCCTCCTCCTCTTCCCTATCTCGCCCTTTCTCTCCTCATCCTCCTCTTCCTCTTCCTCATCATCATCATCATCATCATCATCATCATCATCATCATCATCATCATCATCAACATCAGCAGTATCATCATCAGCATCATCATCACCCCTCGTCTCATCATCATCAGCATCATCATTAGCATAATCATCAGTATCAACTACATCACCACCAGCATCATCATCACCACTGTCAGAATCATCATCAGCACCAGCATCATCATCAGCATCATCATCGTCATCGCCATCATTATCATCATCATCACCATTATCATCATAATCACCATCCATCATCATCATAAGAATCACCACCATCGTCATCAATGTCAACATCAGCTTCATCATCATCATCATCATCATCATCATCATCATCATCATAAGCATCATCATCAGCAGCATTATCAGCATCGTCAACAGCATCTCCATCTTCACACCATCATCACCACCATCATCATCAGCATCATCAGCATCATCATCATTACCATCATCACCACTATCATCATCGTCATCATCATCAGCATCATCATCATCATCATCATCATCATCATTATCATCATCATCATCATCATCATCATCATCATCATCCTGCTCATCCTCACCATCCTCCTCTCACCCTTTCTCTCATCGTTCTCCTCCTCTGCCCTTTCCTCCTTTTCTAGCCTCCTCCTCTCGGCCTCCCCTCCAGCTTCTCCTCCTCCGCCGTCGTTGATGTTCCTCCCTCTCCTCCTCTTTGGCTCCTCTTTCGTCTCCTCCTCTCCCTGAGGGGGAAAGGAGAGATGAGGAGGAGGAGGAGGAGGAGGGGCAAGAGCAGGCTCAGGATCATGAGCTGGAGCTGGAGCAGGAGCACGAGGAGGAGCGGGCAGGAGGGAGGAGAAGGAGTGTTGAAGAGGAGCAGGATGAGCAAGACAATGCTGATGATGATGATGATGATGATGATGATGATGATGCTGATGCTGATGCTGATGCTGATGCTGATGATGATGATGATGATGATGTTGCTGATGATGCTGCTGATTTAGATGATGCTGATGCTGATGATGCTGATGCTGATGATGCTGATGCTGATGCTGATGCTGATGCAAATGATGGTGATGATGATGAGGAGGAGGATGAGGAGGATGAGGAAAAGGATGATGGGGATGAGGATGAGGATTATAATCAGGATGAGGATGAGGATGAGGACGATGATGATGGCGATGATGATGATGATGGAGATGATGATCATGATGATCATGATGATCATGATGATCATGATGATGATCATGATGATCATGATGATCATGATGATGATGATGATGATGATGATGATGATGATGATGATGCTCATGATGATGCTGATGATGATGATGATGATGATGATGATGCTGATGCTGATGATGATGACGCTGCTGCTGCTGATGATGCTGATGATGATGATGCTGCTGCCCTCTTTCCTGCCCGCGAGTGCCCCCGCTGGGGGCCTGCCGATGCCCGAGTCTGCCCGCGATGCGCGAGGCGGCACGCCGGCGGCGGTGCCTGCTCCTGGACCAGCCGCTGCCCGCCAAGGTCAGGAACGGGGAGGTGGCCGCGGGTCGGGTGACACACGTTCTCGATCTGGCGGAGAAGGATCGCGCGCGTCGCCTGGCCCCCGACCGCTGCCTGGGTCGGGGCCATCGCGTCGCCCTGCTGCTGGTGCTCGCTCTGCTGACCCGCTTCAGGGTTCGGCTGACCCATGGGCGGGCTCGTCAGCTGCCAACGCTGCTGGCCGAGGGCAAGCTGACAGCAGTGACAGCTCCTCGGTCATCTCGCGGGGTGCTATTGACGAGATGCTGGCGGCGTTCAAGAACGACATGGAGCGGTCCTTCGACTCACGCATGGAGGAGACCAAGCGAGGGATCATTGCGGACATCAACGGTCACACCGTGCAGCTGGTCAAAGGTGTCAGTGAGCGTCAGGAGAAGGTCAACACATATGTGCGAGGTGAACTGGATGAACTACGATCTCGTCAATCGACATTTGAAGTTCAACAACAACAGGTACGCACGGAGATGGAGCAGCTTAGGCGCCAGCTCCGTATTGCAGAAACGACAGTCCCAATCAAGGACCTTGGCAGCGCGATGGAGCGGGACAGGGGCCCCGACGGCCCGATCTTGTTGGCAAACACGGAGTCTAATGTTACTATCGAGAATATCAAGGCCCAGCTCAAGGGCTGGATGGAGGATGCGGGTTTCGAGGAGCAGCACTGGTCGGCCAGCGGCAACACACCAGGCAGGCGATTCACGGTTCAAATGTCGGGTGACGCGAATGCAGCCATGCGGAAGGTCAAACAGGAGCAGCGGTACCTCAGGCAGGACGGTGAGTGGAGGCAGTTCAGCACACCTACGATTGAGGGGGGCCAGTCCAGGATCTTCGTCGGCCTGGACAAAAGTGATAAGATGGTGCGGCGTGAGGTTCAAACCAAGAAAATGGCCATCCTATTTCGAGAGTCGATGCCGAATGCACGAGTCAGACACGATCGGACCAAAGGAATCATATTTCTGGAGGGTGCGCCGTGTGTCCAGCTCGACGCTGGCCAAGAAAAGGCTGATCCGACCAAGCCCTTGTGGAACTATGCGGTGGTTAGTGCGCAAAATGTGGACAAGGATGCTCCCCTGGCGAGATTCAACGGTATCTCTCCTGCGGCGGAGGAGATACGGTGGCAGATTCAACAGTATTATACAGCCGTGGCAGGAGGATCTTTCTTTTCTCTTTTCTGTTGTCCCATCCTTCATCGCGTGGAACACTCGTGCACTTCTTCGCCATCCACCATCCACCCGAAAGATCAAGCGTGCGCGGCTGGCGATCATGATACGTCCCCACTCTATGATTGCGCTGCAGGGGGCGCATGGCACGGAGGAAGAATTGAGACATCAGATCTATCTAACTCACCAGAAAGTGACGGTATTTGCTTCTATTCCCAGACATGATGCTGGCGGGGTTGCGGTCCTTCTTCAAGGTCTGTCTCAGGCTGAGGCGGACGCGGCGATGGAGGAGGGACGTATTCGCCACAATGTGATAGTACCAGGACATGTGCAGAGATTGCAGATATCGGCGCGCGCAGCACTATCGAATGGCACTCGCAGACAGGACACGGTGATGGTGCTACATAACGTTCACAATTTTGGATTGGACGAGATGACGGCTCAGACTTTTTGACGAGGAGAATTGCGGCGGAGGCAGCTGTTGCAGCGGGGAACCCGCAACGATCGACGGTCATGCTGATGGGCGACTTCAACTTCCATGGGACGGCGGTGATGTACCTAGCGACGCCTGAGATCGACAAGGGGCTGCTCACACAGATGCGTCATAGGGAGAGGGGGGGACTCTGGCGGGACTTGTGGAGCTGGACCCTGAGCAGCCCACCCACTATGTGGCGGGCGGGGGGAGGCTCTCGCAGTTGGACAAAGTGTTTATCTCAATCCCTGGCTGGCTCCGCCTTGATTGGAGCATGTCGGTGACGGTCTTGGACAGGCCCGAGGAGCTGTTCGACCGCGGCATCTCTGATCATGCACCTGCGTGTGTGACTGCTGCATTTCGCCCGCCGCGCCCGTTGCATGAGCAGCCGATCCCGCGACACGTTTGTTGCCCCCCTGCCTTCTCGAAACCCCTCTCGCCTCTGATCTCTCACTCCCCCCGCGTGCACTTTACCCACCATAGCGAGATGGCGGGAGTGCAAACGCCTGCTTAGGGGAGCGGCCCGAATGTCTAGAGACTCATTGATTAGGCAACAGGCTTCCGAACCGGAGACAAAAATCACGATTTTTCTGCCAATCGCCCGCGCGGTGAATTTGAATGACGTTCGACTGGCCTCCAAGTCGCCAGCGACTGTCCCTGCGGCCGCCGAGCACTTGCTGTTTGAGAATGAAGGTCTTCTCGGTCTGAATGAAGTCTGCGGTCGTCTTCCGTCGGCAATGTGAAGATCTCCAGCAGCAACGCGCTGAGCGCAGGCTTTCAGAAGCGGAGACAGCTCTGACGGCATCGGAGGCAATGAAGGAGCGCAAACGCTTAAGGGCTTTCATGTGCGCAGAGCGTAGAAGTGCCAAACTCTGGGCTCCGTCGAGGAAAACCCTTCCGCTTCAGGCTCTGGTGAGTCCAGCTGGCGCTGTTGCATCGAATGCGCAGGAGATGGCATCGGAGCTGCATCGGCACTGGGCCCCTGTCTTTGCCTGGAAGCAGGTTCCTGCCAAGCGTGTGCGTAGGTGCCTCGAAAAGCACGCTCGCCCGTTCGACTGGCCCAAGGTGTCGGCCCCCACGGTCTCGCAGATTCAGGGGGCGCCTGCCAGAGCCAAACCAACCGCGCCAGGGCCAGATGGACTACCGTATGCAGCTTGGCAGCAGCATCCGCTGTCTGCTGAGACCCTATGCGACCTTCTTCTCCGCCTCCAGGCTAGCTCCCCGCCACCGCACCACACTGACTTGAACGATATTACTTTTAGTATTCGCGCCTACGGGCAAACGTGAGGATGACAGCCACCGCGTAGTGCGTGAGGCGGCTTCCACACGCTCATTAGCGCTCAAGAATGCAGATGTGAAAGTGTTATCCTGAGTATGTAACTTCCAATTTAAGAAGATGCTAAGCTTGCAAGCTCAGCAGGACCAGAAGGGTTTCCTGATCGGGCAGAACTTGTTGGAGAACATCACTCTCCTGGACACTACCTCCAGGATCCTTGGGATGCCCGGCCAGGCCAGGGAACGTCACCCCGTCTTCTTCCTTTCTGACTTCGGCAACGCCTTCCCCTCTCTTGCTCACCTGTTCCTTTGGGAAGTCCTACAGTACCTCGGGATGCCTGCTGGCTTCATGGCGTTTCTCCAGGCGTCGTGTGCATTTGCGTGCGCGAAGGCCCCGCTCTTGGGGCAACTTCTGGATTTTGGTGTCATATGCTCAGGCGTGATGCAGGGGGGCCCTGCCAGCGGTTCAATGTGGGCCATGTCTATGGATCCTCTCCTGAGGGCTCTCAGACAGTGCCTTGACTTCTTCCCAGGGTCGGAGTCGGGTGTTTTGCGCGGATGATGTGGGCTTGGCTTTGTCAGAGGTCAAGGCGCTCAAGAGAGCGCGCGTTTTTTTTTTTTCTGTTGCGGATGTCCTTGCGGGCCTCCAACTAAAACTACCCAAGTGTTGTATAGTCCTCTGGAGGCAGAGTTCTCTCCGTTCCTGCAAGATCAGATTGAGGCTCTGCTTGAAGTGCACGTCCCGAGCTGGAAAAAAGATCCACGTGCTGCCTGCGGCAGAATACCTTGGGGCGTGGATCGGCCCAGCTGCGAATAATGAGATGCGGGCGAGGATGTTTCGGGAGCGGGTGGAGGTTGCGAATGCTATTACGAAGCAGCAGGCTGCCCCCTCGGCGGGGATACAGCTGTATAACTCTCGAGCCATTTCCACATTCTCTTACCTATGCCAGCTGGCCCCTTTTCCCCGGGCCCTTCACAGAGTCCTTCACCTCCCCTCTTGCACGTTCCCTCTGGCTGACCTCCTCGCCCTCAGGTCGTGGGCCAAGGTGCGGCCGCTCTCTCTGCAGGTACAGGGCACTGCGACACTTTGGAGGGCGGCGCATCAGACCATCACGAACTGGAGGCCACTATTCGTGCGTTTGCAGAAGAAGGCCAAACGATTCTTGCCACGTGCACTCTGGGCGGCTAACAATTGGTCGCCCCCAGTTTGGAAGAGACGACCGTTCGCACAAGAACTTTCAACGGGTGAGTCGGGCTTCCAGGAGAGTGATCTGCTTCGTGAACCGATATTGTCTGCTCGAAGAGCTCTGGCGGAGGCGCGGCTTTTGAAACCGCGGGTCCAGATCCAGCGGGCGTTCGGCCGCGCCTTGGGAGCCTCCTTATATCATGACAAATTCGGGAACACTATCAAGCGTAGGATCGCCTCTTGGGCAGTGTGGCCACTGTCGGCCCCCGCTCTCAAAGCTATCGACTGGCTCGCGCTCCGCTCTCGCTTGATGCAAGCGCCACCTTAATGGCAGATATGCATTGTCAAGACGTTGGCGGGGGGGCGGGTGACTGAGAGGAGGATGTCACAGCAGCAATGCCAGTGTATTTTTGGTTGTCTGGAGGAAGAGGCCTCGGACAGGCAGGCTCACTATATGTGCTGCCCAAGAATGCGGTCAGCGATCATCGCCGCCTGGTTCCCCGAGGTGCCTCTCCCCCGTCCCATTCTCTCGCGGCTCGCACTTGAACGCTCGCATACAGATGTGGAGCGTGATGTTGCGTGCCAGCGCATGATCATTGCGCAGTACATGTACAATGCACACCGTCGCTGCCCCTCCCAGTCTATCGATTGTTCGGCACGTGCTGCACGTGCCCAGATGCTGCAGCAGGCTGACGTAGAGCGGTGATGACTTTCGGACTTCCCTGGGCTACGTGCGAGGATGAGGATGAGGACGGAGGAGGGAGGAGGGAGGAGGGCGGAGGAGGAAGAGGAGGAGGAGGAGGAAGAGAATGAGGCAGGAGGAGGCCGGGAAAGGGGAAGGGGAGGAGGAAGAGGATGCCAGGACGAGGGGGGGAGGCTGAAACGGACAGAGGGTGGTTGGATGAGGATGGTGGAGGCAGCGGCACGACGAGGAGGGCGGAGAGGCGGAGGGCGGAGGAGGAGGAGGAGGAGAAAGAGGAGGGAGGAGGAGGAGGCGGAGGAGGAAAAGGAGGAGGAGAAGGAGGAGGAGGAGAAGGAGGAGGAGGAGGAGGCTGGAGGAGGAGGAGGAGAGGAGGAGGAGGAGGAGGAGGAGGAGGAGGAGCAGGAGGAGGAGGAGGAGGAGGAGGGCGAGAGGCGGGGAGGCTGGAGGAGCAGAGGTGGCCGAGCTGGAGCTGGCGAGGGCGCGGCTCGAGGGGCAGCTGGCCGGCCGGGAGAGCGAGCTGCGGCGGCACGCTGCGCAGAGGGCCCGGTCGCTGGGGGAGGAGACGTTGTCGTCGTCGTCGTCGTCGTCGTCGTAGACATACGTTCCCCTCTCTTCCTCCTCCTCCTCCTCTCCTCCTCTCCTCCTCCTCCTCCTCCTCCTCCTCCCTCCTCCTCCGCCTCCTCCTCCTCCCTCCTCCTCCTCCTCTTGGTCCTCCTCCTCCTCCTCCTGCTCCTCCTCCTCTTGGTCCTCCTCCTCCTCCTGCTCCTCCTCGTCCTCCTCCGCCTCCTCCTCCTCCTCCCCCTCCTCCTCATCCCCTGTCCTCCTGGCGAGAACCTCCTCCTCCTCCTCCTCTGGCCGCGTCGACGCCCCCGCTCCCAGGCGAAGTCGCTCACCGAAGGAAACAGCCGGGGCCTCCGAGATCGGATCGGAGGTTCGCGCCGCATCGCCAATGTGGAGCCCGCATTTTTCCGCGCCGACGTCGCCGATGCATCGCCGATGCGTCGGCGATACGTCGGCGATGCTGCGCAACCCTCCGGCCCCATGTGTGGGATCGCACCTGGGAGGCCTATAGACAAGGTTGCACAGAGCTTCTGTTGATGCGGGGTGAGCCCCGAGCTGGAAACTCGGAAGGGGAGGGGCATGAGAGGTGCAGGTGACACATCCTCGGCCCACGGAGCAAGCATGAGTTCTAGGATTCAGTCGGGCCTGCCCCTCTACAGGGGGAATCTTCAAAAATAGTCAGAAAATAGTCAGGGGACTATTCTTTGAGTACTTTAGACCATTTTGGAATATGTTTCGAATATATTTTGCTTTCGTCGAAGATCCCCCTGTTGGGGGACACGCCCGACTTGATTCTAGGAGGTCCGCGCGGACTGCCCGGGTCGGCGCCGGCCCCCGTGGCGCCTCGGGCGCCGCCCTCGGTGCTCTCTGGTCCAGGAAGGTCGCGCGGACCTCCGAAAGTTCGTTTGTGTGTGTGTGTGTGCAGTGTTCTCGTCTTCTATGCCTTGCGAGTGCGTGTGATGCCCGCCCCTGAGCGATTCGCGCAGCCGCTTTTTAGGTTGCGGATGGGCTTCTTGGTGTTCTGGTGCCTTCGCTGGTTGCACCTGCGCCTGTCTTGTGCCCGCGTGTAAGTGGTGCCACCCTCGAGTTGCCCCCGCGCCTTTGCTTGAGGTAAGTCTCAGCAGACTGGCGTTAGCAGTTGCTCGCCAGTAGTTGTTTTGTTTAAAAAATGCCGCCTCCCTTCCTTCCCCCTTGTACCCCTCCTCCCATCGTCACCATCATCGAAGTGGTCATCATGCTTCAGCAGTACCATCGTCGCCCTCGCCGCCGCTTAATATGGAAAGTCCATCCTCGTCGTCGTCCTAGTCATCCATAGCAGCATCGTCGGCATCGTCATCATCATCGTCGTTCTCCTCCCGCCTCCCTCCTCCGCCCAGCTTTAGCGTGTCCCTCTACAGGAGAAATATTCAAAAATAGTCAAAACATTGTCCGGGGACGGTTATTTGAGTATTGTCGAATGTTATGTGTATATATTTATATTTACACATATGACTCTTCCTTTTTTCACCCAAGATCCGCCTGTAGGGGGACATGCCCGACCTAAGCCCAGCTCGTCGTCCTTCTCCTCGTCGTTTTCTTCACTCCCGAAGCTAGCGGGGCGATCCCGACTGCAACGTCAGCCCACAGCAGCACCGTTGCGCAAGACAGCAGGCCTCGTATACAATGTGGCCTGCAGCCTCATCATCGTCGTCTGTCTCCTCCTCCTCCTCCTCCTGCTCCTGCTCCTGCTCCTCCTCCTCCTCCTCCTCCTCCTCCTCCTCCTCCTGCTCCTGCTCCTGCTCCTCCTCCTCCTGCTCCTGCTCCTGCTCCTCCTCCTCCTCCTGCCCCCCCTCCTCCTCGCACGCACGCGCGCAAACTGAAGGCCGATGGGTTCGCAGCCTCTTCTAGGAAGGTGAGAAGAAAAACGGAGCAAGAAAAAAGAAGCACGACGCATGCAAGGGGTCTTTGTGACATCAGGGGACCCCGCCAATCACCACCACGGTCGAGCAGAGCGGCCAAGGCCCGAACACAGATACGGATCCAACGGCTTCCAAGGCCCAACATCAGCAGGGAAATCAGTCGCACCATCGCTCATCTGCTTAAAGCTCCTTTTCAGCCATTCATCACACAGTGTGTTCGCCAAGAGGCGATGCAGACACGAAGGAAGGCTGGCGCACATGCATTCCTGCCGTTCCCTTTTCACATGCCCGTGATCCCCAACGCACCTCCCACCCCCCTCCGAAGTTATCCTCGTGGAGAAGGTTGCACAGTCCGCCTCGAGCACAAGGATGGCGTCCCAGTCTAGTCTGTTAGACATGGCACACACTTCACATTTATGGGCACGGACCTGAGGGAGGGACAAGAAAGAGATCGCTGAAGAAAGGCAACATTTCAAACTTTGTTCCCCAACCGTCAGCCAAGGGATTCCCAGGGCACACGCATGGGCAAACAAGCTCGCCGTGCTTCGCAGCACGGAGTTCTCGTAGGTGAGCTCAAGTCTCCCTCTGAGGTTCCAATTTGGGCGACCCCACGGGTGCTCGGCGTCACGCAGCTGCTTCATTCGACCAGGACCCCCGCCCGCAAGCTTGGAGGCAAAAACGCAAACCCCCTGCAGACCTCTTTGGGTCACTTTCTTGGTCCAGTACTCCGTCTGCTCAGCCATCTCCTCATGTGAGATGTGTGCAACAAGGATCTCTCTCTCGCGCCTGCGAAGGAGCTCCTCAAGGCATTGCTGCAAATCCAGTTCTCGCCTCTGGCCCTGTGAGACCAGCAACCAAACATCGGGGTAAGTACGTTGAGCTGTCGCGACGGCATCGGCGCTGCACAAACCTGGGCCTCAACGGCCACGGACGGAGCATCCACGATGTCGTTTCGGCTTGTTCCCCTTCTTTATCGCCAACGGTGGCCCGCAAACTCTGTAGGCGGCCGTCTCGACAAAGTGTTCATGCCCACCCCCTTTCTATTGTCCCTCTGTTGCTTGCTGCTAAGCTCCACTTACTCTTTAAGCTCCTCTCCCAAGGGTCTTCTGTCAAGATCGGTCCACGCCTCGCAGCAAGCGGCCTGCTGCTTCAAATGTTTCACAAGTCGCCCCCTCGTGTGAAATTCGGCCATGCAGAGCTGACACAACGAGTCCGTCACCCACATGGTGGGATCCCTTTCGTTTTTTTTTTTTATGGAACTTGTTTTCATTAATCCAAAGCTCCCTGCAGGTGGTGGCCAAAAACCCGCACTCGTAGCAGAACAAGTGGCGCACAAGCCCCTCATCCTCCACAGGACCCGCAAGGGCAGGCGCGTGCTCCGTGACCACACCCAGTCCCCTCGTCACAGTTTGAAATTCTCCAGCCAGTTCCAATTGCTGCTGCGCGAACAGCTCTCTTTTTTGGCCGCCCCAGCAACCATGTTCAAAAACCTACGGGCGCATAACTTGACATATTTAATCCGACATTCCGCAGTCCCACTGCGTGGGATGTCAAGCTTGTTGACGCGATTGTTAAGCCAGCTGAGATCGTCCTTGGCAGCCTGGACCCAGCTGGTCTTGTCATCCCAGAGCGTGTCCAGGACCACCCTGAGGCCCGCAGGGGCCGACCTCAGAACCCTAGGAAGGTATCTTAACCGAGCAACCCTCATCACAATGCGGTGTCCCAGCCTTCCGACTCGCTGCAGTATCGCCGCATGGGAGGCCCAGTCCTCAGAGTTGGTGGCCATGGGCAGTCCGAGCGCCGCTCTGTAAGCGGCAGCTTGGGCGCTGGCCAATTTGGAGTGAGTCCTATTGCTGACTGGTTCCCACACACATTAAATCACGGCTCGGAAAGGGCAAACGCGTCCGTATATTTGGCTTTCATGGCCACACTCATCTGTTCACGCCTACCAAGCGCAACTTGTATGGGACGAAATTCGCGTCGCATCTGAGCAATTCTCTGAGCAACCTCAGCATTGGCCCCTCCCCCTTCGGTCATGATGGTCCCCAGTCCCTTAATCTGCTAAATGACCCTGACTTTAACTCCATACAGTGGGGACGCAATCTCAAGCTCACCGCTGGTTTTGGCCATCTCTTGTTTGACGCCTTTCGAATACCCCCCCACAATAATCTACATCAAAAAGGTTTTGATAGCGTTAAGCTGCAGGCCAAATCTCGACACCGCTTGAAACACAATATCCACCAGGGCAGCCGCCTTGGTTGGCACCTGGTGCGCGTCTCTCACTGCCCCCACAGGCGTGAGGTCATCAGCAAAAGAAACTGAGCTAGCCTGTTGCCCCCAGTCTTGCTCCGAGGCAAACCTGCACTCGCATTGCTGAGGCTTCCATTCCAACTCCTCCCTCCTGACTCCTTCCTCAATCTCCTGAATGATAGGGACAAAGGCCATGATGGTTCCTGGTCTAGTGCCGAGAGACGGCCTGACGCGCTTAGAAGCATTGCGCACCTTCCACCATCCTCCCGCCTGAGTATCCCTGACGAGTTCAAGCAGGTGTCTGTCCTTAACAGCCCGGTCCAACATGGGTTGGCCCTCAAGGGCCTGGGTGACGGAAAAGAGCCCCTCGGGCAGATCAACAGTCTGCATGGCTTCTCGAAGATCTTCTTCCTCTCCAGGAAGGGCCAGAATAAATTGTTTCACAATGCTGTAAAAGGCGGCCGTGAGGTCAAGATAAAGCGCGATACTCGAAATCCTCTGATTTCTTTAGGCCAGAAATTTACTGCGGACATAGTGAGTAGCCACATCCGTGCTGCGGCCTTTGAAACCTCCGCACTGTGTGTCATGCATGCATGACGCGATCACACTCCACACCCTGGACCTCACAAACTTATGATGAACCTTGCTGATGGTGTTTCCTAAGAGGATGCTTCTCTGAGTTTTGGCTTTGCTTTGATCCCCTTTCCCTGTGTAGAAACTAACCACTAACCCCTCCTTCATCGCACACGGCTCCCGACCTACAACCGCAATCTTGGTCACGATGGGATGGTAAGCTCTAGCAAGTCCCTCGGGCTCCGGCCTAAAGAGATCATTGTCGAGTCCATCGGGGCCCCCTGCCGTTCCACTCTTGAGTTTTCCGAAAGTTCTTTGAAGCTCTTGGCGCGGCATGACGTTAGAGACTTGAAGCTCGATATCTTCGCTAAGGGCAGACCCTCGCGCATTCTAGATCTCCTGAACCTCAGCTCTGGTGGCCGGCTTGGCGCGCTCGAGTTGTCCAAAATGAAGTTGCAGATCCTCAGCATCAGCCTGCTCCTCCTCTTGGTTCTCCTCCTCCTTCTCCTCCTCCTCCTCATCCTCTTGGTTCTCCTCCTCCTTCCTCCTCCTTTTTCTTTCTTCATAAATAGGTAACTCCTCCCCGTCCTACCCCCATACGTGTCGGTAGAGCGGACCTGGCGATTCGCACGAGGTTTCGTGATACATTTTGGCCTTGAAGCTTGAGACCCACAAAATGTACAAGGATGAAACACAAGACATGTTTTCATGGAGCTCTCGCATCTGCACCGCGTACTCTCGATTCCACAGCCTGCAACAGTTACACAGACGGAGGGTGGGTGTATTTCTTAATGGGGCTTTTGTCTCAGTGCCTCGCACATTCGTCTTGAACGTTCGCAGCAGTTGTATGGATGGAGGTCGGTTCCTTTTCAACATGGGGTTCTCGCCTCAACACCGCGCGCATTCGTTTTAAAAGCTTGCAGCCGTTATACGTTATCACCTGGAGGGCTATTCCTTCAAACAATGTGGTTTTCGTCACAGACATCCTTCCATTATAAAACGAGAACCATCAAGAGACCCAGCAGCTGCACATATTGAGGGGGGGTCCTTTTCAACATTGCACTCTCGCTCGAGACCGCCTCGGAGCTCATGGCCCAGAAGCGTAGGAACTCCCGCAGGAGATCCACGGATAGGGTGGGTGGCGCTTGGAAGATCTTGGGGGCCTCTGAAGGCCTCATAGGCCCTGGGTGCTTGGGTTCGGGCTCTTGGGAGGCCCCCTTAATCCTCTTCGGGGACGCCTCTGGGGGCCCTGAGTCCCGCGACGAGCATCTTAGGCGTGTGGGGCTCTCGGTCGACTTGATTAGGAACTATGAGCCTCTAGTTGTTGGGCCCTCTCTTGCAGGACCACTAGCTGGAGATATTCAAACTGTTCTTCGGGGTGGATTACGGGGTCTCGAGTTGGCCATACGTTTTAGCAAGGGTGTATTTCCCTACCTAGGCTCTGCCTAGAAGGGTTCTTACTCTCTAGCTTAAAGGGGCCGGGCAGTGGAAAGCGCCCCGGGCGGTTCCCCCAGTCCCCGCCCCGCGGTTCCCCCAGTCCCCTGGGAGTTTTAGCTTTAGCTTTAGCTTTAGCTTAGCGTTAGCTTAGCTTTAGCTTGGCTTTAGCTTGGCTTTAGCTTGGCGTTAGCTTAGCTTTAGCTTAGCTTTAGCTTAGCTTTAGCTTAAGTTTATCTTAGCTTTAGCTTAGTTTTAGCTTAGCTTTAGCTTAGCGTTAGCTTATATGTACCTTAGATTTAGCTTAGACTTAGCTTAAACTTAGCTTATCTTTAGCTTAACTTTAGTTTGGCTTTTGCTTAGCTTTAGCTTAGCTTTAGCTTAGATTTAGCTTAGCTTTAGCTTAGTTTCATCTTAACTTTAGCTTAGATTTAGCTTTAGCTTTGGCTTATCTCTAGCTTAGCTTTAGTTTAGCTTTAGCTTAGCTTTAGCTTAGCTTTAGCTTGGCTTTAGCTTAGCGTTAGCTTAGCTTTAGCTTAGCTTTAGCCTAGCTTTATCTTAGCTTTAGCTTAACTTTAGCTTAGATTTAGATTAGCTGTAGCTTAGCGTTACTGTTGCTACTAATGCTGTTTTCCTAGGGGCTCCAACTCCTAGGTAGGGTCGCACTGGGATAATTTTCCATGTTACGGATAATCGTGCTGGTTTTGATGGTTGGCATAATCGTGCTTATCTTAATCCTCAGGGTGCTCTGGGGCCCATATGGCGTGAGGTCGGCAAGTTACTACTTGAGCGCGACCCATCGTTTATTACCGTTTTGTGGGTCCCATCTCATCTCGAGGCTTGTGAAGCTTTTAAGCAGGAGGTGCCATTTCACATTTTGTTCGGCAATGCAGTTGTTGACGAGATCGCAGGAGAAGTAGCCAAGGATTGGAGGGTCCCCGAGAGGCAGAGGGCCAGGGTGTTGGATGTCGAGAGACGGGCTGCCCTGGTGAGGAAAAGGCTAATTGTGCACAGTTGAAAGCGATGTCCGCTCACGACCGTGTGCTCGACCGCCCGTTCCCGCAGGCGTCCCAAGGAGACGCCCCACCTCCTCCCCCTCCCCTCCTCCCCCGCGGCCGCCCTCGGCCGCAGCAGTTGCAGCCTTCTGCTCGCAGCGCGAGCTGGACGACGCAGGCGCGCGGTGCGCCCGATGCTTCTCGTCATGTTCCAAGGCCGCGAGGACGGCTTGGTTGAGTTCTAGGTGTGGAGCCCCCCGCTTTATCAACGATGTGCTGTCACTACCCGGGGAGGGGTGTGGGGTCCACGTCGGCGGTGGGTGGGTGCGCGGCTCTCACAAGATGACTTGTTCCCAGACAGTGCGCACTTTGCTGTGTAGGGAGTGTGGGTTCTGTGGTAAGGATCAGATCCGTTCCCTGGCCAGTCAGTGTCGACCCGATCAGATCACCCGCGCACGGCGGGACTATATTGACCAGTTTTTGCGAGATCTCCCACCGAATGAACAAGGCTTGAAGTGATGGTTTGTCTCGTTTTTGATGTTGCTTCGCAACTGTTCTGATTCCTGATTCCCCAGTGCATGGCAATTCCTTATTACAGACGGGGCTCTGGCCTGAACCGCAGGCTCATAAGGGGTGCTGGTGTTTCAAGAGGGCGCGCCTTGTAGGGAGAAAGGACGGCCTGTAGAGGGACTTGTGAGGAGGAGACTTGTGACGGGCGGGCGCAATGCAGCATCACTGATTGATCCTGGGTTTATGCTCCTCCCCGTATCATCGTCTCCATCATCCGAATCATCCATAGCAGCATCGTCATCATCATCGTCGTCGTCGTCCTCTCGCCTCCCCCATCGTCCGCCCAGCTCATCTTCGTCCTCATTTCGCCCCCCTCCTCGTCCGCCCAGCTCGTTTCTCTCGCCGCGCCATCCTCCTCGGCCGAGCTGCGAGGGCGATTTCGTCCGTAGCGTCAGCTCACGACCCGCCTGCCGCCTACCCTCGTCGTCCTCCCCCCCGTCTCCGCCTTCACCCTTTTTTCTGATAGGTAACCTCTCCCCGTCGTAATCATCAACAGCAGCAGCGCCGTCTGAGTCGTCACCATCGCAGCTTCTCAGCGTCGCCCTCCCTCCCCCCCCGGGCCCTCCGCATCCTCGCCCTCGTCGGCCCTCCCCCTCCCCGCATGTTTCTCGCCCTCGTCGTTTTCCGCCTTCCCCTCCTCCTCCTCCTTCTCCTCCCTCCTCCTCTCCTCCTCCTCCTCCTCCTCCTCTCCTCCGCCTCCTCCTCCTCCTCCTCCTCCTCCTCCTCCTCCTTCCCCCCCCTCCTCCTCGTCCTCCTCCTCCTCCTCGTCCTCGTCCCCGTCTCGTCGTCCTCGTCCGTCCTCGCCCCCTCGCCATCTTGGGAAAAAGGGGGCGGGGCGCGCGCCTGCCTCCGAGGAGAGCGCCGAGGCGCGGTTGTCCGCCCTGAGGGCCGCGGAGGACCGGGTCGCCACGGGCAGGCGGCGCGAGCTGGAGACCCGGGGGGGGCGGCAAGTTGCTGTTGGCGGCGGGCTTTGCGGCCACGAGGAGGGGAGGAGGGAGGAGGGGGGAAGAGGAGGAGGAGGGGGGGGAGGAGGAGGAGGAGGAGGAGGAGGAGGAGGAGGAGGAGGAGAGAGGAGGGAGGAGGAGGAGGAGAGGAGGAGGAGGAGGAGGAGGAGGAGGAGGAGGAGGAGGAGGAGGAGGAGGAGGAGGAGGAGGAGGAGGAGGAGGAGGAGAGAGGAGGAGGAGGAGGAGGAGGAGGAGGAGGAGGAGAGGAGGAGGAGGAGGAGAGAGGAGGAGGAGGAGGAGGAGGAGGAGGAGACGGGGGTGGGGGGAGAGAGGGAGGGAGGAGCGAGGAGGCGCGGGGGGGGGGAGCGAGGGAGGCAGGGGGGGGGGCGGTGACGGGTGAGGGGAGGGAGCGCGGCAAGAGAGCGCACACTTCCTGCTCCTCCTGCTCCTCCTGCTCATCTTGCCTGCTCTTTCCCCCATCCATCCATCCCTCCTTTTCTCTCTCCTCCCTCCCTCCCTCCCTCGCCACGGGAATTGTGGTTGCCAGGCAGTTTCATGTAAGCCCGTCCTCGCTCCCTCCCCAGGAGGAGGAGGAGGAGGAGGAGGAGGAGGAGGAGGAGGAGGAGGAGGAGGATTCGACGCAACAAACTCTGTTGTTCATGTCCGACCAGCGTCTAAAAGGGAGGAGGAGGAGGAGGGAAGAGGAGGAGGATGAGGAGGAGGAGGAGGATGAGAAGGAGGAGGAGCGAGGAGGAGCGAGGAGGAGCTACCAGAGGAGGGACGATGAAGGAGGAGGACGAGGAGGAGGAGGTGGTGGTAGAGGGAGAGGACGTGGAGCATGTGTCCGTATTTTGTGCTGTCTCCCCAGGAGTTAGAGGATGAGTTGCGGTCCGCCATGATGGCGCAGCTGTCCGATCGGCTAGACACTGGCGGCAGCCAGCCCGACGGCG